GGTGGCGCCCGCCCGCGAGGGGCGCTTCGGCCCGGCGCTGCAGCACGGGGGTGACCCCGGACGGCATCAACAAGGTCGTCGTGGACCGCATCATCCGCGTGGACCACGCCGGGGAGTACGGGGCGAACCGCATCTACGCGGGGCAGATGGCCGTGCTGGGCCGGTCGGCGGTGGGGCCGGTTATTCAGGTGAGCGGGCTGGAAAGCTGCCGCCTCGTTTCTTCTTTACTTTGCTTTTGTTTAACGGTGGTCGAACAAAGCGGTAGGGCCGTAGCCTTTATAGCAAGGTGGCTAGTTGTGTATGTCTTTCTAAATGGCTTTAAACATGTGTATTCATAAAGAGTGCTTGCATTACTTGATTAAGGGAACTATAACTCAGATATTTGCTGATATTTTTATGTTGCCCGTTTGTAACTATCCTTATTTGCCCTTCTTCCTGTTTCCTTTGTATGTTGTGAATACTTACCTGTAAAGTTAGTGTGGGTGACCTGAGCAACGTGTTTATTTCTGTTCTTGCTATTAGTTTTATTTAAAAAGTCTGCCTTTTTGGTGTTGCGCTTTACTATGATTTGGTTCTGTTTCAGCAAATGTGGAATCAAGAAAAAGATCATCTGAAAAAGTTTAATGAACTAATGGTTGCATACAGAGTTCGACCTACTGTTTTATTACCTTTCTGGAATGTAGCAGGCTTTGTTTTAGGTGAGCTTCTACTATTATTATTGTTTTATGAATTCTTTGAATGTATAAATTATTCATGTTGCTTTGAATTTCATTGTTTGGATTTGTTTGTACCACAATCATAGGGGCTGGAAGTGCTTTACTTGGAAAAAAAGGTGCAATGGCTTGCACAGTGGCAGTGGAAGAGAGCATATCGGATCACTATAATAGTCAGATCAGAACTCTTATGGAAGAAGATCCAGAAAAATACAGAGAATTATTGCAGGTATTTTACTGTGACCTAAAAAGTAGTTTAACAAACTAATTGAATTATGTAATGAGACTTTTTTTTAGAACAATGTGACAGTAGAATTGCAGTAGATCTTTTCGTCCTGTAACTTAAAACTGTGAAGGCAACAGAAACCTTAAACTAAAAGAATGGTTGTTCCT